TTTATTTTTCTTGCTTTTTTTTTTTTTTTGGCAACATGGGAATATGTTTTGCAGGATTTCACATGTATAAATGATGTATTACTTCCCTTCTCAATGGGTGGGGGAGGAGCTCAGAGGACGGAGAGAATTTGGAACTCAAATTTTTAAAAAAAAAATGTTAAAAATAAAGAAAAAAGTCATCCACACAGAGATAATAATTAAATTCATGGGAGCTGATGAGATCATCAAGTGAAATACTGTAGAGCAGAGGGGCCAGCGAACTATGCCCCACAGGTCAAATTTGGCCCGTTGACTATTTTTGTACAGCCAGCAAGAACTATGAATGCTTTTTAACATTTTTAAATGGTTGGAAAAAATTGAAAGAAGAATGATATTTTATGACCCATGAAAATGATATGAATTCACATTTCAGTGTCTTTAAATAAAGTCGTATGGGAGCATAGCCATGCTCATTAGCCCTCATCCATTTCTGTAAGATAGTCAATAGCCGCTCTTACGCCTCAAGGCAGACAAGCAGTTAAAAAAGAAGACTATGTGTATGGTTCTCTTATCCCTTTGCACAGCTACTTGTTGCACTTTAAACTGAAGTGATATGGTGATAACCCAAGAACATTTCAGGTCCCATGTATCACCATAACATGGCATTTCATTTTATTAGCAATTCATATCCATCATGTCAAAACAAGAAGAAGAGGAGGCACATTATGATTTTTTGAGCTCAGGGCCAAGATTGAAGTTTTTCCTAATAAGATGAATCACCCTGAACCACTACCACCAAACACCAAAGAGCTTTTGGAAATTAGCTTTGGCTGTAGACTTGATAATGTTTCTTAATTGATTCAACCAAAAATTAAAAAATTGAACAGCACTTATATGTGAAATTTATAGTGTGGTAATGTTAATTCAATGACAACAAATGTTGTTGAAGTCACAAGTAATGTCAAGCTGGTTTATACACCTCTTGTGCTGTCAGGTTGAAGCAAGAAGCGAGATCTCTATTCTGACCCAAATTTGCCACTGATGATGTTAGAACTCGGAAGACGATCCCACGGCATCTTTTGGGCCTTGATGCAAATGCAAAAGAAACCTCCAGATCTCAAAATCCACTTTATTGTTGAGTTGAGGAGATTCCTCCTCCCTTTCAGTGGGGAAGTATTTAATCTGCAACATAATGTGATGCTAAAAAGAAAAAAATCAAGAGAAAAATCTAATAGAATAAAAATGTCTTCCAGGCTTTGAATATGTTCAATTAAAATCATATGCTTGTGCATTGATATCAACATTTGGCAGTACCTATTTCTGTGAAAAGGTATTTTCAAGGATGAAATACATAAAATCCCAGTGCAGATCAGCATTAATGTTTACAATCAATTTTGATGATAGGAGGCACTAACTTTGAATCCCCAATGAAGCAAAATATTATTCCTCCAAAAAAAATTATATTCTTATCATTAGTATACCTGTGTTACAATAAATTGTCATCAATTATATTTTGGATTTCATTAGTAAAAAAAATTGTGGAAATGTTTTCTCTCTTGTTACTATCTGACCCTTCACAGAAACAGTTTACTGACCCCTGGTGTGGAAGGATAAGAGGGCCGGGCCCAGGACAGAGAGAGCTCTAGAAGAGGCACTCGCAGTTAGTGGGCATGACGTGGCTGACAAGCCATGGAAGGAGACTGAGAAGCAACAGGCACATAGGTAGAAGAAGAGCCAGACGAGGGTGGTGTCCCGATAACCCGGAGAGAAGAGAGTCTAAATCAGCAGTGTCCACGGCTGGCTACAGAGAAGTCAGAGAGGGTGAAGGCTGAGGGAGGGCTGGGGGAAGGCCCTTAGATTTTGCAATTAAGAAATTGTCAGTAAATGTGGAAAGAACAGTTTAAATTTAATAATGAAATTGGAAGCCAGACTGTGAAGAAGAGAGTGAGGAAAAAGAAAGTGGAAGCACCTCCCGTGGATGGTCTCAAGGAGTTTAGCCACAAAAGGGACAGAGAGAGATGGGATCAAACAGACGAAGAAAAGGGAGAGTGGGGATGATGGAGGGGGCGATCTGCTGGAGAAGACAGGGTGCAACGTGTGGAAGGGGTGAAGTTAGCAAGAAGGGCCACTTCATTGTGTGATGCAGGCGTGAAGGGAGAGACCATGGCAGAAGTCGTCTGGGTGATGTGAGAAGAAAGGTCTCTCAGTGAATGGGCTCAGGCTGACAGGGGAAAGGGGAGCGGAGCCGTGGGAGGTTTGGAAGAGCCGCTGTTGAGAGTGGGGGAGCTGCTAAGGGAGGTGTAAAAGGTGTATCTTGTACATAACATAAATTTGTAACGGACGCAGTCAGCACAATTTTGAGATTTTCCCCAGTTTTGTTCAGCAGCATATGTGTAAGAGCAAAGGCTGGGGATGGTGGAAGCGATCCCAGGCTGAAGCTTTGCAAGACCAGTTCAGGGATACAGTAAAGAAAAGCAAAGGACAGTATGGAGTTGATCTGGTTCACAGAGGGATGGAGAATGTGGCCAGTTCAGGGGTGATGGCCTAGGAAGAAACTGAAGGTCATGGTGTAGACCAAGAACAGAATTTGGGGTGGCAGGGCAGATGGAGAGGTGAAACCATGATAGATTGAGATCAGATAAGGGAAATCCAGAATTTGTGAACATGGAAGTGGTGTGTTTATGAATGGTGGCAACATCAAGGATATCATTTTTGTGTGTAGCTAAGGTGAGCTGGAGGAGTAGATCATGAATAAGGTGAAGTTAGGGTGAGGTTCAGGTATTTGAGGGAGCATTGAGATATGTGTGTGTGTGTATTTTTTAAGTACCCCAGTATGAGGGCAGGAGTTGAGGAGGATAGAGAGGCTGGGAGTCAGGCGCTGAACTCATTGAGGAGAAAGTATTGGGGAGGGTCACGCTCCTGGAGGGTGGTTGACAACAGCCACCAGAATTTTGATTGACTGCGAATATGGATTGAGTGAACCTCAGAGGAGGAGAGGTTACTCAGTGATGGTAGAGGTAGATCCTAGAAGTGGCAGTGGGAAGCAAGGAGTGTTCCAACTCCTTTTCCCCCCACACCCCTCTCAACAATGGAGACCAGGGGAGTGAACGAAAGTGCAACCAGTGCTAGAAAGGGAAGCCAGGTCTCAGCCAGAAGATGGAAGGAATGGAAAAGGAAAAAAAGTAAGATGAAAGCAGATTTATTGCTGATGGAAGAGGCATTCAAGAGAGCACAGTGGAAGGGATGGGTGATTTTAGAGTACGACACTGTCAGGATTAAATTGAAGGGAATAGGAATAAAGGATTGGGTGGTGGGGTTCAGGGGGTAGTATGGGAGATCAGAATCATTGGGATGGGGAGGGTCAAGCAAGGGGGAATTTTTACATCATTGAGCAATGAGTTTAGTTAGGTAGGTTTTCCAAACTATGCAAAAGCTCACATGTAGGAGACGGGATGCTAACAGGGAACAGTCAGTTGGCCAGTTTGGGTTTTATTTTAGAGGCAGTAAAGGCAGTAGAGATTCGTTCTGAAGGCCAGTAGGCCAGATGAGAGGTGTGGAGAATCTGCAGTAACATGGTGGCCACACGAATAGAGGGAGAGAAATAGACCAGTGGAAGAAACAGGGCTACGTCTCTGAAGCTGGAAATGCCAACATTGTGGACCCTAGGGTAGATTGTATGTATGTTGCCTGATAACCAGTAAAAGGAAATTTAGTCACCAGGTGATGAATTTGCTTCCTGCCTATTTCAAAGTTGTCTTTGGCCAGATATAATAATGGTCTAATTCCAGACTGTGGCATCCATCGTGTTCACTGTTCACTCCCAGTTTTTGTTTCATCTGCAGATTCAATAAAGATACCGCCCATGCCTTTCTAAGAGTTATTGTTAAAAATGTCACATGAGCAGCACCCAGCACAGATCACTTGGGTGCCCTGCACAGAAGCCTTGACATCGGGCCTTTAATATCTTTTCATTACACCTGTTCCAAATCTGGTGATTGCATCTAGCCCCCGTCTCTGTTTTTTACAGCGATAGTTTGAGATAGTTTCAGACAATAAACTAAAACTTAGCTAAGCTGGATCTACACTATTCCCTTGTTCTTTCTATTTAGTAACTGAGGCAGGAAAAGAAAAGACATTGTCTGGTATGGCCTGCTTGTGAAAAAGCCCCTTATGATCACCATGGCCTGTGTTGGATGGTCACTTACTCTCTCTTTAAGAGTACGTTTGGGGGCAGCTAGGTGGCGCAGTGGATAGAGCACCGGCCCTGGATTCAGGTGGACCTGAGTTCAAATCTGGCCTCAGACACATAACACTTACTAGCTCTGTGACCTTGAGCAAGTCACTTAACCCCACTGCCTAGCCAAAAAAAAAAAAAAAAGAGTATGTTTGGGAATATGGCATCAGGGGCAGGTGCCATTGTCGTCATCCCTTCCTTGAAAATCAGGGTATTTGCCCTGCTCTAGTCCTGTGGTACCTCTCAGGTTCTCCAAGGTCTTTCAGAGATCACAAACAGTGCCCCAGAAGGATCAAATGTAGCTTCTCTGGGTCAGGGACAGAGGAACCAGGTGCTCTTCCTCTGTCTCTTACACTGTTGTGGGTAGAAGAATAGGGAAAAAGGAATCCTTGGAAAAGGAGGATGGTGTCCAAAAGAGTATCAACAAAACATTGAAGAAAAAAGGAGCAAACAGTTGTTAAATAACCAGTGGTGGTAATGGAGTAGAATTGACCTGCTCAACAATTCTAGAAATATCTTTTATTCTAAAGAGATGATTCCCTGTGCATCTAATGTCTAGTCAGTATCACGGTATGTTGGACATCAGAGCCGCACGTGGTTCTCCTCCCCAATTCTAGGACTGCGTCAGTAATGTGAGAACAGTAATAGAAACTGGACCAAGGCTCATCCTTACCAGTTCTTAACACTCATTGTACATTGTACAGACTGTAAATGATGTAGGATTTTTAGTTGGAGACCAATTTTCTTGAGAATCCTCCATGATCTCTGTTACCTTTGCTGTTCTTAGGTTCGGTGGATGATGTATTGGATTGTTTTTGCCCTTTATACTGTGATTGAAACATTGGCAGACCTAACCGTTGCTTGGTAAGTCCCAAGACTGAAAAAGCATTTGCCCTTCAGGGGCCAGTGATGAATTTGGTCGAGTCTCTGTTAACTAACTGACCAAAGGCGGGTTCCCTGACTTCTCTGTGCCTGTTGTCAATAAAACAGAACGTCAAGTGAGATAATGAGTGAAAGTGCTTTTGAATCAGGATAAAGCTATGTTTAAGATAGTGGTATTTATCATCATTCATGGAAACTGAAGCCTTTCTTAGTTAAATATTTCCTTTGAGTTTTGTTGGCTTGTTTTTGCAAAGGAGAATTATTGTTACAACAAGCCAAAATCCACTTTGGATATTAAATTAATTAATTCTTTTAAAAGGGACCCCCAACCCTTTCCATGTGGTGAATAGAATTGTAAAATCTTCTGGGGGAAAATCCAGATTTGGCCTCTACCACGAATACTGTTGGGACACTTTTTAACTATTAGGGAAGAAGACTGTTCTGTATACAGAAACTAAGGAAATGTTGTAAATAGACATTTTCTATGAATGGCATTAGATATTTCCTTTGGAGCTTTTCTTTAAAAAGTTCCATTTTTGACACATGAAGATCTAACCTAAATATCTAATGGTTTTCTAACATTTCCTGGACAGGTTTCCCTTGTACTATGAGATGAAGATTGCTTTTGTCATTTGGCTGCTCTCCCCATACACCCGTGGGGCAAGTTTAATCTATAGGAAGTTCCTTCACCCACTACTTTCTTCAAAGGAAAAGGTAAGAGATGAGACAAATTTGTAAACATCAGTTTTATCTTTTTTAAAAATTTTTTATTAATGTATTTTGATTTATCAGTAATCACTTCCGTAAGCTTTTGAGTTTTACATTTTTCTCCCCCTCCTTCCTCACCTCCCTCCCCAGATGGTGTGCAATCTGATATAGGCTATACATATACATTCCTATTAAACATATTTTCACATTGGTGATGTTGTAAGGGAGAATTAGAACCAATAGGAGGAACCACAAGAAAGAGGAAACAAAATAAAATATAAGAAAAAAATAGCAAATAGTTTGCTTCGATCTGCATTCATACTCCATAGTTCTTTCTTTGGCTGTGGATAGCATTTTCCATCATGAGACTTTTGGAGATGTCCCAGATCCTTGCATTGCTGAGAAGTTCTAAGTCTGTCAGAGTTAGTCATCGCACAACGTGGCTGTTACTGTGTACAACGTTCTCCTGCTTCTGCTCACTTCACTCAACATCAGTCCCTATAAGTCTTTCCAGATTTTTCCATCAGTTTTATCTTTTTGAAATGTTTAAATATGGCAAAACTTTTCAATATGTTAGGAGAGCAAAAATTGCTTCTGTATACTTTGCAATAATGTTCTAAAAATTTAAGAAACTAAAGTGGCCATGATTGCAATTTTGATACCTTTTGAATCCCTTTTTTTTTTTTTTTAAAGGAGATCGATGATTATATTGTCCAGGCCAAAGAACGAGGCTATGAGACCATGGTAAACTTCGGTCGCCAAGGTTTAAACCTAGCAGCCACCGCTGCTGTGACTGCTGCCGTGAAGGTAATTTACAGTTTCCATGAAATGTTATGTAATGACACCTTGAGGCAATAGGTAGGATGATTTAACAATTTTTCTTTAGTTATAAAGATGTTAAACTAAATTATAAACTTGGTATCTGCTTACGGGATATTTGAATGAATAGTTGCTTTTGAAGATATATAAAACTTTAATTTTTTTGCTTTAGTTCTTAACTTATCCCATAATGGGTGCTAGTTAATTGAATTTAAAAAATACTTTAAAATGGCATTTTCCTCCTAACTTTTCCAAATTCCTTAACACTTAAGTAGTTAGCCCCTGTCCCCTTTTGTAAAGATGACCATTCTTTCTTTCTCTGTCTTTGGCGTGGCTCTCTCTCTGGGTGTTAATATCTTGGTAGGATTTCTGGCTTACTTCTGCTGCTGTCCTCCAATCGATTTGAGGTAACTTCTCCTACTATTTTGTGCTTGAACATTGTGCAGTAGTAATGACAAATGGACATTTTAATGATTGACTAATGCTGTACATTTGTTGTGCTTTTGCAAGTCACATTAATGCATTTAGTAAAATTTGCATCATAGGCTTGTTTGCATGTCATAAGTGTTATGGGATTTTTTTTCAATATCAGTGCACAATCATTTCAGTACTTATTAAATCATTACATTTAATTTGTGATTGCTAAACTGAATTGGGCCGAGTGATACCTTAGCCAGCAGTTTTAGGCCTTTTCAATACCCATTATGTAACTAGATCTATTGTCTTGTAACTAAAACAATAACAAAAATTGTAGGAATATTTTTTATTGTTAAGGGATGATTTTGTATAATGCTCAGGATAAACTGAGCCAATAAATGATGCCATTTTCACTTTTTAAGACTACCCACAGTGACCCAGTTTTTCTTCCTCAGTGTTCCCTACTTCTAAGTATGCCCAGTAGAATGAATAAAATGTAAAGCAGATTGCTGGTTATCCTGCTGAATAAACTAACATTCGCTCATTCAGTAAACACTGAATGAGTTCTAGCCATGTGCAAGGCATTGCACGGTACCAAGATAAGTATGGCACAGCCTCTGCCTTCAGTTTATAACCCAGCAGTAAAAGGTAACCACTTCACTTGGGAGGGAAATTTTTCTTTGAAATTGATAGGATAAATTTATAAATTAAAGGATGAAAATAACTAAACTTTATTAGGAAGATGTTTCAAGATTGTCCCTATCAGAAAAGGAGTCCCTGTCTGGTAATTTCTGCCAGTTCGAGAATGTTTTCTTTATTCCACAGTAGTTAGCACAGAGGTAGGCTTACCATTACCTTTCTTTTATTTGGAATTACACCAGGCTCCCATTTACAGACCGTTGGCAGTAGTATGATGACAGCAACATCAGCAGATTTCTGTGAATTTAGGGTTCAAATCAGTGTCATAAGTATGATTGATGGAGGAAAATTAATGCAAGAAAAAAATAGCAGTAATTAAGAAGTAGCAAACACTAGCAGGCTGTACTTGGTTGGAAGATAAGTAAAGAGTAGAAGAAGGGAAAATGAACATTTAAAGGCCAACTTGGGGAAAGCCATCAAGGCCAGGCAGGAAGGGAACAGCTCAAGCAAGCAGTGTGCTAAGTTCTGCGAAGGCTTTTTAAATATTTTTCTCCTGAGAGCATTAATCTTTCCTCAAAAACAAATCATGAAAGAGCATTTTTTTCTTTGATAACAACTAAACGACATCATGGTGTGGTGGTTAGAAGGCCAACTTTAGAGTCAGGACAACTTGGGTTCAAATCCTACCTCTGACCCATAATGGCTCTGTGACCCTGAGCAAGTCACTTAATTTTTCAGTGTCTCAGTCAATGCTTTAAAATAAGACATTGTAGAATGATTACCAACAGAACTCTCCCTACATTAATGAAGTTTCTCAAAAACTGAATGGAAAATGTTATTAAAATGCTTCAGTTTTTTTTATTTCTTTTTTATTAATTTATTTAGAATTATCAACAACCACTTCCATAAGCTTTTGAGTTTTAAATTTTTCTCCCCCTCCCTCCCCGTCTCCCTCCCTAAGACGGTGCGCAATCTGGTATAGACTATATATATACATTCCTATTAAACATATTTTCACATTGGTGATGTTATAGGTAAGAATTAGAACCAATAGGAGGAACCATCAGAAAGAGGAAACAAAACACAAAAGAAGAAAAAAATAGCAAATAGTATACTTCGATCTACATTCAAACTCTACAGTTCTTTCTTCTTTATGGATAGCATTTTCCATCACGAGGCCTTTGGAGATGTCTTCGGTCCTTGTATTGCTGAGAAGGGTTAAGTTTATCAATATTAGTCATCACACAATATAGCTATTATTGTGTACAACATTCTCCTGGTTCTGCTCACTTCACTCAGCATCAGACCATACAAATCTTTCCAGGTTTTTCTGAAGTCAGCCTGTTCATCATTTCTTATAGCACAATAGTATTCCATTCCATTCACATTCATATACCACAACTTGTTCAGCCATTCCCCAATTGATGGGCATCCTTTCAATTTCCAATTCTTTGCCACCACAGAAAGAACTGCTATAAATATTTTTGTACACGTGGGTAAAATGCTTTAGTATTTGAGAACCATTTCACATGCTTTGTTGTATGACTGTGCTCTTGAAAAGGGTGGATGGTATTTTCTCATTTTTTGGATGTATAGTAATATTTTCAGGTCCCTAGAATGTCAGTTTATATCTACCAGCAAAAGAAGTAAATTGAGCTTTTTTTCTTAAAAGGAAGTTATAGAATTTTTTCCAACTGGTAAGATCTGATCACCCTGACTCCAATCTCCTTCTAGGAGCTGAGGGTGCTTACAGTCACTCTGTTGCCCTCATATCAACTTCCCCTGTATCAGGCATTTCATGCTTATGTAAGTTGAATCTAAAGACCTACTGTTTCATCACTGATCACTGTGATAAAATACAAAACGAGGGTGAGTTCTTCTGTGGTTTGATTTTTTTTCCCACAACCTTTGTTAAAAGGTAGATCAGTAATGGACGCAGTGCCTTCTGCCAGCATGCTCTCCTAATGCACAATGAGAGGAGGCCTGTCTTTCAAAGGCTGGGTGAAGTCTATCACCAGTTCTGTAGGGAGGGAAAAGATGTTCCCTGGATCAGAATTCCTTGGCATCTGAGAGGCCTGGGAACCCCCATAGCTGTCACAGTCATGGGGTTGGAGCATCCCTTCAACATCAAAGAAATTTGCTCTCATTAACTTGGAAGAGGATGTGAGAATCTGGAGGACCACCAGCCCCAGTTCTCCCACAGACAAAATGGCTTCCTTGATCTTTCTTCTTTTCCTTTGACCTACCCAATTGAATAGTTGTTCCAGAAAGCTTCCTGACAACTTTAACTTTTAGAGACTCTTGTTAATGGGAAAACAATAACATATCTGTTGACATTGATTTCTGTGTTGAGTTCATTTCCAATTTTGTGAAAAATATTAAACCTCCTGTCCTTTAAAAAGTTGCTTTTTACAAAAATTCATTTTAAGTAAACAAAACCATCAATATCAAGATCTATATAGGCAGATTTTAATTTTTTTCTTACTTGCATTATATACTTTGCTTAAGTATATTAAGCCAAAAATGATTTATGAAAATAAAAGAATTTTTGTGATGGGTAGCAATTTAGCATTAAATTAAATGTTTAAATCATGTAATTTTTAGTGAAACATCCCTCTGTCTCTTCTAATAATATTCTAACTGTCCTCATCTGTCTGTTTAGCCCAAATCCCAGTTTTAATCATACCTCAGTCCTACTGGTAGGGTTATGTCAGCCCCTATGTTGAGGATACACCCAACAATGAGGTCCTAAGTCCTTCTAAGAACAGACAAACAAATGATGCTACTTTATTTCATTATTATTTCCAACTATGATCCCTTTTGCCTTTTTGCTCCATTTCTTAATGGTCTGGAAAAGTATGAGAGGTAGCATGAAGTACTGGATAAAGAGCTGCCTTCAGAATTAGTAAAACCTGGGTTCAAGTCTTGCCTCTAACACATCTAGATATTTGATTGTGTGCCAGTCCTTTAACATCTCAGGGTCGTGGGCACTTCTTTAAATTCTGATGATTGGCAGTTTGCCTCGGTGGAGGAAGTTCCCACACCCAGCATTCCTACACTGATGAGATCACTGGTGAGGTCCAGCCACAAACAGAAGCCTGTAGTTCTCATTCCTGCTGTCTGGCAACTTGAGTCAGCTGTTACCTAGAAAGGATATATTGGCTTTAATGACAAATCTAGTCACTGAGGAAATAGCTCAATTCATCAGAAGCACCAAAACATCAGTGTAGGAACTGTGCAGACCCTGCCCTAAGCAGATTGCAGCACCTTTTGAGCTCAGGAGGCAGAATCTTTCAAGAGTTGCTAGGCAGAAACAAGCGAGCTCCTGCTGACTATTCAGGAGAGCCTCTTCTAAGCAAAGTAAGCCATGATGTGAGTTCACTTCTTTGGTGAAAGTGCCTTCCTCATATTTTTACATTAATGACTCCATGTTCTTCTCAGATGGGCAAGGTTATTGTACCCCAGTTCATCATTATGTAACTTGGGGGTTAGGTAGCAGTGCTTAGCTGTCCTTCCAGCAAGGCATATCCATGTAAAATGGTCATCAGGCCATAATTGGTAGGGCCACCTGTTCAGGGGAGTGCTCTGGTTTCATTTTTCATTTATTGTCTAACATTAATTATTAAGGTGAGCCTTTGTTAGTGGTGCTCATCTTTTCCATCCTGGGTCTTTAGTCTACCTCTACTGACTCTTTGACTAAGAAGCCCTGGGTAGTTGCTTGATCATTCCATTAAGCCCTAGATAGGCTTTTATTACATCGCTTAGAATCATTTCTCATGCCCCAAAAAGAATTCGTCTTTCTTCTCCTCAAACTTCCCTGTTCTTATTGGCCAGGGCATCCCCATCCTCCTGTAACTCTGGTCACTCTTCACTCCTCACTTTTCCTCACTACATACAGCCAGTCAGTGACCAAGCCTCACCACTTGGATTTG